CATGGATACATAGTCACGAACAGATGCATTACTTGGAATTTAGAAAATGGATAACTTATAAGACGTAAGCGTAATTCTGGAGTTGATGATTAAGAAGCGAAACATAACGATAGGAAGATATTTTTTTTGATTTTTTTTTCGATATTCATGTTATATAGATCACGACGACTCTACATTTATTTAGCAAAAAAAGATAAAAATGACAATTTTGCATTCTAACCTTCCAATTTCAATAGTTTCAAAACCTTATAAATAATCAGCTTCGTGAAACGGTCATGTCTCCTCTGCTTTCAAATTGTATTGAAAATGACATAGATATTTTAGAAGGCTATATTTCCTTAATTAATCATGTTTTATCACGCTTCATTGTGTCTCCAAAATTAGACTTGAGGTATGCACTACAGTTGCCTTATAAGCTTTCACAAATAAGAAATCAATCTCTTCCATGTCACGAGTTTTTTTTGATCTCTTTTCCTAGACATGAATTTTGCATAATAATAAATTTAATCAAAAGGTTTTCCATTATTTAAAAAAAAGGAATAGCTCAAGGGGCATCGTATACCTATTGATAAAAAAAAGTTATCGAAGTTATAAAATCCTATATTTGTTGATGAAAAAAAGGTTATCGAAATTGTGGGAATCATTATGGAAAATTCCAGGAAATACCTATTACGGAAACCACAAAACATCTATATCCTTCCAAAAACAATCGATTGCTCGTCTTACAAGCTTTGTATTCACTAGAATTCTCTACCTGGAAAAAGCCGGTCATCAGTTTTCAGCTTATCGGTGAAAAATGTTTTTTCGATTTCGCTTTTTTCTTCGATTTTGTTGTTGGCATCTCGTACTCGTTATCTTCAACTAGTTTCGGTAATCCGCTGCTGAATTGGACAGTGTATTTTTTATATGCGTGTACGTGGCGTGAGGCAGTTAATGTAAAATGCGTGTACGCGTACGTGAAGTAGGTTTATGCTAAGTGTATGCGGCGTGCGTGAATGAAAGCGTATTTAAAGTGCATATGCGTAGTATGTATGCAAAGTACGCATGCGTCATGTAGTTCATGCGACGTACGTGTACATTACGTACGCATCAGCAATGTACGTGATGTGTATGTAAAGTAAGTGTATGTGACGCGCATCGGAAGTTACTGTGATATACGTGTGCGTAACATGTAACTAACCTGTATATGAACATATGTTTGCGTAACATAAATGCAAAGTGTATGTGCGTACGTGTATGTGACGTAGTATACGTGACGTGTATTGTTGAGAAATCCAAAGCAGCTTTCCACAATTTGTCTGTCACTCATATTGATTAGTAACATTTAAATTTTCCCTCCTTTCCGCTAGAGCCCATTGTAACAGTGTCCTGCCTATTACCGTACGGCCTGGAAAGTGTGTTGTAATCCCCTTTGTT